CTGTAACGAGAGAAACGGGAGTCATTTCGGCAGTTTTTATCATATTCCAGCTCGACATCTGGAACCCACAGACACTATTCTATACTGAACATCAGGCTAAACCGCTTTTCTTTCTATAACGAAGATGTCTCAAATATCTTGAAAATCAGTCTTGAGAATCAGTGAAATGCTCCAAGGACAGAAACATTGCCCGCGAAGACTGTCCCAAAAGTAAATCGTGGGAACTACATCAACAACTGAACTTAAAATACATCAAATAGAATACCCTTAAAACTCCCTTTGTTTGCTCTGAATGCCCTACCACACACAATGATGCGGTCACAGTAAGACTATGAAATACCAAACGCAGTAATACGAGAATCCGTGCGGTTACACAGTGACAGTGACAACACAAAAGGGAAGCTGTTAGGTATCTCGAGATGGAAGGAAACAGAAAGGTCAGGTTTGGTTGGATTATTATGATGTTTACAATATTCGGGGGAGGTCGAAGTGTCTTACTGATTCGACGGGATGGGGGGGGGGGGCAGAGAAGGAGAAGGAGATGGAGAGGAAAAGAAAGGAGGAAGGACGGAGGGACGAAGGAGGAAAAAGGGGCACAGGGGGCACAGAGAGCGAGAGTGACAGTGAAAGTTATGATGAGACATACATGGACAGAACAACAGAAGAAGAGAATCAGAGAGAAAAAGAGACACGAAATGACAAAGATGACAAAGAAATGCAAAAGAGGAGAGGAGAGAGAGATGAGAAATGATAGAGAGAGAGAGAGAGAGATGAGGGAGAAAAGAGATAGCGATAGAGATAGAGAATGGGAGAAAGAGAGAGAGGATGAAAGAGAAGGAAAAAGAGACAGAGACAAATAGAACAACAGACAACAGACAAGACAGACAGACAGACACAGACCAAACCCCTCTCTAACCTCCCTCTGCGCCCGTGATAGCCGCCCTGTCGCCGCCCACCAGACCGAGAATCACAACATCCCCCCCCCCCCCCCGCCATCCCGCGTCACGCTTTGCTTTCATATATGACTTCATGCCATGTTTTTTTCCCCTCTCTCTTTCTCTCTCTGTCACTGTGCTGTACATCGAGGAGGAAATGGTCTGTTATGCCAAAGCGGGGATTGGCATAATGGGGATTTTTTTTTTTTTACCGTGAATAGAATGTAGGAAAATGTATATACGTATATATTCGTCGGAGGAAGTTGCGGGCGAGGATGGGCGGGATGCACGCTGTGGGGTTGGTATTATTTACGTTAACTCTGGCTATTTGTGTAATGTCGGATAATGCACACTCTATTTTTCGCGCACTTTTTCTTTGTCTGGTTGTGCGATCATTACTTTGTCTCTCTCCGCGTGTCTGTGTGCTTCTGTCTGTCTGTCTGTCTATCTGTCTATCTGTCTATCTATCTATCTATCTATCTGTCTATCTATCTATCTATCTACCTACTATCTATCAGTCTATCTGTCTGTCTGTCTTCTTCTTCTGTCTATCTATCTATATCTACCTATCTATCTATTCAGTCTGTTGTCTGTTTGTGTCTGCCCTCTCTCACATACATAATTGTACCTTGGACTTACCTCCCCCGACCCCGTGACACACACACACACGCATGCAAATTAAACACACACACACACACACCGTCTCCACCTTCTTTCCCGCTTTCGCATTACTGACCTCAGAAAGCAGATTAACCCTTCCCTTTCCCTCTCTCCTTCTCCCTTCTTGCCCCTTTCTGCCATCTCCTTACCACAAACCTTCCCCTCTTCTTCCCCTCCCTCGTTCTTTCCTCCCTCCCCTTCTTTCCATTTCTCTCCCTTCCAATCTCCTTCTTTACTCCCCTCCCTTCCTTCCTCTTCCTCTTCCCTCTTACGTCACATAAGCAGTAGTCTTGACCACCCCTTCTTCCCATTTCTCTCCCCTACAATCCCTCCCCATGCCATTTCTTCCCTCCCTTTCCCTTCCCTCTTCCCTCCTCCCCTCTTACGTCACATAAGCAGTAGTCTTGACCACTTCCGGTGCCTGGTGCTAATTCCTTCCGGCACAAAAGAGGGTATTTGTCCATTTCCCTCGCTCCCTTCTGGTCCTCCCCCCCCCTCTCTGCTCTTCTCAGCCCCTCTTCTATTTCTGCTTCCCTGTCTGCTTGCTGTCCGTCTGTTTGTCTCTTTTTCTGTGTGATTTATCTCTGTGTTGTTTGTCTGTGCTGGGCTGTGTCTATGTGTCTGTCTTCTTTCCTTGTCTCTCTCTCTCTTTCTTTCTTTGTCTGTCTGTCTGTCTGTCTGTCTGCCTCTCTCTCTCTCTCCGTCATTCTCTCTTTCTCTTCTCGCTCTCTTTCTCTTCTCGTCTCCTTCCTCTCCCTCTCTCTTCTCTCTCTGTCTCTCTCTCCTCTCTCCGACCCCCCCTTCTCTCTTTCTCTCTCCCTCCCCCCCCCTTCTCGTCGCTGTGGTCACGCCTCGCCTTGCGCCGATGACAGCTATTTTATTTAGATTAAGCGTAAGCTTCCCTCATATCCCCTCCTTTCTCTCTCTTCTTCTATTCTCTTTCCCTTATTCTCTCTTTCTTGTTCCCATCCAAACGCATTTTGTTCGCATTAAATTCACATTTTCTCTCTTTTTCTCCCTCTTTTAGTATTTAATTTTCCACTGCTTTGGCGTTTTAGTATAATTTTTCTTTTTCCTTGTACGTACTTTCCTTAAATCGTAATATAATTTCTTTCTTTCTTTCTCTCTCTGTCTTCTCAATTGTATTACATTTCGCTCACCTTATTATGCACTCTATGGAATTTTCTCTTCTTTTCTTTTTGTTTTCCCTTTTCTCTCTCTCTGCTTTTTTTTTTTTTTAATTTCTCGTCTCTGATTTCTTTTATTTTACTTTGCTGTTTTCTTTTTGATACTCTTCATTCTATTTCTCTCTCTTCCTCGCGTGCCCGCGGCGTGCGTCGCGCGTATGTCATAGCTCGTCTCTCTTCTCTCTCTCTGTGCGTGTGCGGTCTGCGTGCTGCGTGCGGGGTGGGCTCTCGTCGTGGTCGCGTGGGTGGCCTGTGTGTCGGGGTGGGCTCGGTCGTCTTGCGGTCGCGTCTCTGCTCGTGTCTCGTACGTTCTCTCGTCTTCGTGGGCTCGTTCGTGCTGCTCGTCTCTCCTCGTCTCGTCCTCTGGCTCTTCTCTGCGCTGGTTCGTGTGTCCTTTGTTCTGCGCCTGCTGAGTTTTTCGGTTGAACGAATCTCTTAACCATTCACCTCCCGTTTGTTCTGGCTTGGACGAGTGATCTCTGGCTCCGGTCTTTCGTACCGGCGCGGTGCGGATCCCCCTTTTTGTGCGTTGCGTGGGCTCGCTGTGTGACGAGCTGCTGTCGGCCGCTGTAGCCGACCGCGTCCTCGGGCCAGTGCGGTTAGGCGCACGAAAATACCGCTCCGTTGGTACCGTTCGACGATGCCGGGCGTTACCTGCGCAGGGCTGTGTGAGCCGTCGACGCTAATCGCAACGAGAGCTGCGCGGTCGGTACTGTCAAGCAGCCGACAAATGGACCCGGCCGCGCGCGGCGCCCCCCGCGCGGGCGCCACCCGCCGTCCGCCCTGGTTTTTACAGCGATGCTGCTCGGTGTCGCGTGGTGTTCTTCTCGCCCTCGCGTGGTATCGGGCTTCTTACTTCCGCGGATCTCCTTTCTTCTTTCCCCGATACCTTCCGTGGCCGGCTCCGGTGCCTTGACGCTCCTGTTTCTTCTGCCTCTCCTCTGCTGCCGTGGCGGTATGCGGCCTTGCGCGCGCCGTTCGCTTCGCTTGTCGCCTGGTGGAGCCTGACGCTCGGAACGCGTCTAAGTGTCTGTGCCGTGCGGTGAGTCCGTTCGCGTTGTCTTGCGGTGCTCGGTGTTTCTCATCGGTTTCCGGGTGTCGGTAAAGCGGAGTCGTCGCCGGCATAACGAGACAGGCCAGGTGGCACAGAACATGTGCTGAAACAGACATCTTGAAGGAAAGTGAGCGGTAAGGCGAAAGGAGGGCGAGAGACGAGGAAATAGAAGATGAGAACGAAGGGAAGAACAGACAAGTTGAGAAGGAAAAGAAAGTGAACAGGGAAGACGGAGAGAGGTGTGGAATAGGGCGTGCAAACGAGGAGGAGATCCGACGAGAGGAGAGAGAGGAGAGAGAAGGAGAGGGAGGGGAGACGAGAGAAGATGTCGATGAGAGAGAGGAGTGAGGAGGAGAGGAGAGGAGAAGGAAGAGGAGGTGAGGAAGACGAGTGAAAGAAGAGAAGCAGAGGAACAATGAAAGAAAAAAGAAGCAGAGATGGATGGCGGAAAGAGGAAGAGGGAGAATGAAAGAAGAGGCGAACGAGCGACATAGGAGAGACGGAACGAGGTAAGTAAAGAGTAATATCATCTTTTTCACCCCACTCATATATCATTGACTTGCGATATATGAATCAGGTGATTCAGTTGGTGGCGGGAGGTTGGTCATTATCGCTTCATTATCATTTAATTTATCTGCGTGTCTCACCCGTTTATCATTATTTATCAACTTATTGCAATATTATTGTGTATCTTCATTAATATTCATTATCTATTGTTATACTTAATCCAGTTACTATTGTCATTAATGTTACTGGTGTGGGGTGATGAGTGTGATGGATGTGTCGAGGTGAGGAGTGGGCGAGGTGAGTGGTATTGTGCGGGGGGGGCGGGATGAGTGCATTCGGTTGCGTATGGTATGGTATGTGAGTGGATGTGATTGATGTGATCGGATGTGATCGATTGATATGATTGATCGAGTTATCATAGATGCGTGTATCGATCATTATCGACGCGAGTCATAGTGTATTGATCGTTGTCATTGGGCCGATATTATCATTTGAGTATGAAGATGTGGTGCGAGCTGATGGATATTAAAAAGAAAGATTGAAGGAAGAGTAATATGGAAGTAGGGAAGGATAGGGAAGAATAAAGAGGAAAAAAGAGAAATATAATTAATAATACAAAAATATATCTTCATGGAATTCCCGACTGCTGTTCTTTAG